GAGAGAGAGAGAGAGAGAGAGAGAGAGAGAGAGAGAGAGAGAGAGAGAGAGAGAGAGAGAGAGAGAGAGAGAGAGAGAGAGAGGGTGGCTATCATGCGCGCCCTCATCTTGAATGTATCTGGCCAAGTCCGTCCGTTGTATACATTGAGTCGATTTGCAGGACTTGGCCAGATACAGTGACATTAAGGGTGCCTTGTGTGAAGTAGCTCTCCATCTCTCTCACTCTCTCTCTCTCTCTCTCACACACACACACACACACACACACACACACACACACACACATGCATCTAAGTGGAGGGGCGGTGTCAGTGCGACCCCAAGAAACGACAAATTTACTCACCGCTTCTGCTTGCTGTGCAGGTTAATTGGGCGGTGGGCAAGGGCGGTACCAAGAAAGCAGCGGGCTTAGGCTGAACGCTAATGCGCCTGCCCCCCACGGATTTCAGAACTCACTGATCTTGGGCCCTGCTCCACTACTAAAGACAAAAATCATGGTAGTGTATCTTGCCATGTTCTAGAGGAAGATTCGTTGTCATTTTGCACAATTTGTGAGTACTGGAGCGAGGCCCTTTGTGTGACGCAGTACAAAGCGGTAGCGCACCCCCACTACTGGTACCGGTCCTACTGTCAGAATAGTACGCCCGGGCGCTGTATACTTTTTATTTTTTGAGGGTCCTCACGTCGACAAAGTTGGTCAATTTTTTCAGAATACAACGCCCGGGCGTTGTAAACGAATATTACGCCCGTAGGGCGTTATGTTCGTACATAACGCCCGGCTGTTATTTTCGGGTGAAGAGGGTAGTATGGGCCTCGCTCCACTAATCACCAAATCTGCCAAATGAGAACGAATCTTACACTGGAACATGGAGAGAGACACCGCCATATTCTTGCCTTTGGTGCATGTCGTGAGTCCAGTACTCACGACATGCACATAGTGAGGCAAGAATATGGTGGTGTATCTTTCCATGTTCCAGTGTAAGATTCGTTCTCATTTGGCAGATTTGGTGATTAGTGGAGCGAGGCACATAGTAGATTGCAGCGCCCCCATATTCGGCAACAGGCCTGCAGTGACAGCAGGACATTGTCAGCTGCAATTCTTTCTTTCTTTTTTTCCTTTTTTTTTTGCAAACAACGGGAAGCATCCATGTCAACAGCAGCATGAACCCTTAGCATCTCTGTATTGACGCGTGATTCATTGCACACCCTCTAATCACGATATCCTTTTTTTTTTAATTATAAACTGCGATATCTTTTGATTCTTTTCTTTTCTTTCCAGCTAACAGAATTGACTCCAGGCCGAAGCTGTGCCGACCCTGTGGGGCCACCTTCCGGCATGCTCGGAGGTAGAAAAAAAAAGGCAGGGAAAGGTACTGGCGGTTTAATGCTTTTTGTGTTTTATTGGAGTGTAAGGTTAACCATGTGGTATCTGGACATTCCAGATTCCAGATGTTGGATTACCTATGGCGTTGTCAGAGCAAATTTTATGATAGCATGGCTGACAAGCTAGGCTACCAGAGTGGCACAGGACCACGACCCGGCCAGACCCAAAAAAACAAAACAGAAAATCAAATTTGGAAAAGAATTTTGATGTGACCCTGAGGCAAAAGTTGGTTAGTTTATTTTTCTGCAGAACATAGTTTTGTTTCGTACTTTTTGGATTTTTCAATCATTTTTGTTTATTTATTTATTCATTGCTGGGACCTTCCCTGGTCTTTGCAAGGCTGGGCTTTATTTGATTTTCTTTCCTTCGGCCTGCAAACCTACAGAAGCAAGGATGGGAAAAGGAAGCCCGGCCAAAGAAGGTGACCTGGGTAGCCCGGCTAGTAGCCCAGCTGGCAATTGATTATGAGAGATTGGTGAGGCATGAGGCAAAAGTTGTTTGCTTTATTTTTCTGCAGAATATAGTTTTGTTGATTTATTAATTTTATTTATTAATTTTATTCATTAATTTTATTTATTAATTTTATTCATTAATTTTATTTATTAATTTTATTCATTAATTTTATTTATTAATTTTATTNTATTTATTAATTTTATTCATTAATTTTATTTATTAATTTTATTCATTAATTTTATTTATTAATTTTATTCATTAATTTTATTTATTAATTTTATTTATTAATTGGTGAGTTTTCAGGTACCAGCAGTGCAGGATCTGGTGTTGTACAACCACTCTTTGTAGTGACGATTTCGGTTCTTGAGAGTTGAAGAAAATTTCACCCTTAACTAGTTCACCACCCTCACCTGTTTTTTTTGTCATGTTCGAGAAGGCCTCGCTTAATGCTTCTTCGGTTTTGGAGCTTGTTTGAAGCAATGGTGCACTCGACATATGTTGCAACAAAGCTGAAGACATGGAGTGAACCAGGGCGAAAGAGGATGAAGCTGCTTCTTGTGGGCATGGGCGTGCCACTTGTCGAATCCTATCAACAGTACTTGCACATGAATCGGCAAATCAAGAGGTATTTTCTCATCTTGTAAAAAGCAAACAACAGCATATGACTTAGGAGGAATGTCACTCTAAAGTGTTCCTTGGAATCCGTCTTTTAATATGGAGTGCAAGGCCTGTGCCCTTAAACCACCAATACATGAGCCCAGCCAAGTTGAGAATCACAGGATTGAGCCTCTCCAAACAAATCGGAGGCTCGGGGCAACTGGACTTAGATGGCTTGCTGTGCCAGCCAAAGCTAAAACAAAAATGCTGCACTGGCGTTTCGGCAAAGGCTGGCGCACAGTGGGAATTCACCTCGTACGAACGAGGCTCGCTGGTGGGTTTAAACCACCAGTTCGGACGAGCCTAAGTTCACGAACCAAAAACTCCCCTAGCCTGGCCAACCTTTACCAGGTCAGACCTACTTGGATTGAAACGTGCATTCGGTTTGGCGTGCATTTTTCCCATAGGCCAAAGCCGCCAAACCGTTTTTGTTTATTTTTCATTCCTCCCCCCCCCCCTCCCCCCCCTCCCTCGGACGTGGAGTCAGCTAAGGAGCATACCTTTTTTTTGCTATTTTTTGTTGCTGGAAATTAGAATAAAAAGTCGCCAAAGTTGGGGTACTGGAAAATTTTCAACTGCCTCTGGTACCCCCTTTCATCCGGTAGGCTGAAGCGGTATCCTCTTACCGCGTTCACCAGTAAGGCCGACTTAGCTTCAGCCGAACTGCCATTGCCAGAACTGTGGTTTAACAAGGATAGCATGTGAAACAAGCGAAGGAACAGTTTTTTCTTGGTCTTTTCTCCCCCTTTCGCCCTCTTGCACTCTCTCTCGCTTTTCTCGTCTCCCTTCTCTCTCCTCTCTGTCCTCTATCTGCCTCTTCCCACCTGTCTCCACTTCTCTTCTCTCCTTCTCTGTCCTGTTTTTCCTTTTGCCTTTCTCTCATTTCCCCCCTTCTCCCTATGTCTCCCATCTCTCTCTTCTTCCCCTGTGTGTGTTTGGGCACTTATATTGACGAGTGATTGAATGACATCCTTCCCCTCTCTCTTTTTCACCCCGCCATTCCACTGAAGTCAAGGCATACGTCGGTTTTTTAATGTGCCCATTGAGCCAGTCGAACATGATTTTAAGATGGAACTCATCCCTTTGTTTTTTTGGCTGTGCTGTGACGACTGTGGTTGTCTACATACCTGTTTCCAGACGATTGAAGGAGGAGTTTCAAAGACGATCTCCGGAGTATGGACTGACAGAGCTGTTTTACAGAAGCTTCCAGAAGTTCCGCGGTTTTAAGTAAGCATTTCAGAGGTTGTTTTTTTATCCTGTTCTATCATCTACTTTTGATTTCGAGATAGCTATTCTGCATGATGTGACCTTGTCTACCTTCATGGGGAATTCCTTGGTGCATTTGTGATGCTGTCATGTCATAATTGATCACTGATTCACGCAGATATCCAATCATCGATTAACTGGGAAGGCATACATCTGTGATTCATCGTGCATGCCTCGATCATGTTGGTTATTTTCATCACCTGGCAGCGACGAGTGGTTGCTACATCACTTAAGTGAGCGAGAGACCGGTGCAATGTCCCCCCTATGTGCGGCCAATCCCTGTGCGCTACTCACTGCACTGAATATGGTGTACGTGCTGCCTATAGCATTAGGAATCGTGGCAGTCCCAACGAACTGTTACATTCTAGAGTTGGCTTCCCGGTTGTTTCTGAATGGCGATTCTGGAGCAGGTCCTGGGTTGTGTCGAGGGAACTCTCCGTGAAGTGCAGCATGAAGTGAATCTCCCAAACACACCCCTGATGTATGCATCTGGGTTGTTCTTATCTGCCCAGCAGCCCCTGTTCTTGGAGATCCTACTTCCCAGTGATCACTTCCCTTGTTCTCTGGCTTTCCTGGCTGTAACCATGGTGTTGCACACCCTGATGATGAAAGCCGGGGATGCATGAACCAAGGATGTATCCAGCGAGGGCAAGCGCCACAAGGACAGTGGAAGACAAGGAGATTGCACTAATGATTAGTAATGAAGCAAAGACAGATGCAAGCATGTCATACACATGGAGAGGTCAGAGGATGCGAGTCAGCACACACATGATGGAAGCCAGGAGGAGGAGAGGCATGGATGGAGGAACTCGTCCCTGGCCAATCATCCACAGACAAAGTGTACAAGAAGAAGAAATGGAGGTGGCGAGAAAATCTAGAAACCCAAAAAAGTCCGCTCGATGTCTCCCCCGACTCACAGCTCCGAAATTGTCTCTGCTTTCCAAGAGAATGCTGGCTGAGTAAGTTGCATTGAGCCTCACTGCTCGTCACCCTGAGCACACACACACACACAATGAGATGCAAAGTCCAGATAAGCGCAGCTTAGAAGTTCCAACAAATTATCATGTTAAGCAGTTTCAGGACAGGCCCGACAGGGAGAGAAGAGAGTCACCTACCTTAGATGGGGATGCTGGAATTGGGTTGCTGAACTCTGCGCCGATGAGCGCTGGTGACTGGAAGTCTGAAACTGCTTAATATGATAATTTGTTGGAAATTCTAAGCTGCGCTTATCTGGACTTTGCATCTCATTGTGTGTGTGTGCTCAGGGTGACGAGCAGTGAGGCTCAATGCAAAGTGGAGAGAATTGGCTTGGGCCTCCTGGCTGGTTGCGGAAGTGGCTGCATGCTTTCCAGCTCGTGCCAGGTGTTAGGAGCAGGGGTACGGCTCCCTGCATAGATCAGAGTTGAGCAGAGTAGGACTGGAAATCCAACCTATAACCTTTCGTAGGTAGTGGGTAGTCTCCCACCTTACCCTTGGTTGTCTGTCTAAACATGGAGCTGTGTTCCTTGCTGGTTGCGTTGCTGTGCCCCTTGCAGGTCCGGCAAGGTGGGTAGACTAGTTCGAGTACACAGCCTGCATGTAAATGCAGCTGTCCCCCCATATGAGGAGAAGGCAGCCTGCATTTAAAATAATAATAAAAAATAAAAAAGAATGGAACTGCCCAAATGCACAAAGGATTTGGAGCAGAACGCAGGCATACTGGTCGGCGCTAGTCGGCACATCGCTGCCAGACAACCTGCTCACACTCCTAACATGTCTCGCACAGCCACGTTTCAGAGAAGCCTGGCATTCAACCCTCTTCAGAAGAGTTCGCCCCTTTATGTTGTGGATCATATGGAAGACACGATGCAAACAAATGAAAGCCTGCCAAAATACATCAACCCTGGAGGCCTGGGAGTAGTAAACAAATAAAAATAGGTATTATAGTACCGTTAAAGAAAGGAGCACCAGTGGAAACTTCTCTTTGAGCTAATAGATGAAAAAGCACAGGTGCCGCGGTACCACAGAGAACAACCCAACAAATTATACAAAGGAGCGTTAGCTGTAGTTTGAGAATCTGTTCGACGTTTTACAACTTCTACACACAGAATAATACCAGGCGGATTGGCACCGAACAACCAAGAGAAGAATATCAAGGACGACCCCACAAAAAAAGCAAATAATCATAGACAAATTCATCAAGGACAGGCTTGGAATGGGCAAACTTGGCACTGTGCAAGGTGATCCCCCGAGACTGATATGGAAACGGCGGGAAGAACAGCAAGGGAGAGACCGGACAAGGGACTCGTTAGAAATGGCACGATCACAGAACAGCTTAGCGGACATAGACTCAGCATAGTAGGTTCAGAAGAGTAGGAGTTTTAAGAAAATAGGGAATTGGTCTCCAGGACACAGGGGACAGTAGGGTTTAGGGTTTAAGGAGAGCGGTAGCTTATGCGCCTCAGGATTCGGCTTCCTTCCTCGATAGCAAGAAGATGCCCTGCGTAGTCGAAGCTAAAATCCTTTTTGGTGATTGGTAGCAGTGTTTGTCCAGTAGCTATTTTCTTTTCTATTGCGAATTGCAGCATTGTTAGTCTAGTCTAGTCCCCTCTTTTGGCCAGGATAAGTAGGCTGGGATTTTGAAGCATGCGACACTGGATCATTCCAGGTTGAGATGTGGAGGGATTCCCGGCCTCCTTTTGCACTTATAATAAAGCATTGTGTTTATATTAAAAAAAAAAAAAAAAGAATGCTGGCTGAGTAATCAATCACTCCAGAAAAATTGTCCTCTCTCTTTCTCTCACATCGGCAGTCCACCAAAATAATGACACCCTACCTGAGTCCGGTTGCTTATCACCGGCAAGCATGAGTTCAAGCATGAGAAAAGTCTGCAGAAAAGGGGACAGCCATACCCTTGCGGTCCTAGTCGCCTGTCAAGGGGGGGCTGCTACAACCGACCCCACCTCCCATACCATGTCCTCTGGGGGTATACTTCTGCTGGCCGGGAAGCTTCCTAGCAGCACCCAGTCACGCATCAGAGGGGTTCCGGGGGGGCTAGGAACAGGGGGGGCCGTCCTAGCAGCCTCACAGACCACTGTCTCCCATCCTCTTCTTGGTTGCTACGGTCCAGAGTAAGATCCCTATTTTTCTCTTATAACCTGTCTCCTGGTATACCCGCGTTCTCGCTATAATGCTTACTTCCCTTTCCCCCCTCTTTACAAACATCCTGTTTCCTTCCTAATTCCCTTACTTCCCGCCTAGCTCAGCAGACCTCCTATTTCCTTCTGCTTTGTTTGCTTCCACCTGCAATCTGTATACAACCTAAAAACATGCTTATAGACTTTCTCCAGCATTTCCTGCCCGAACTTAATAGCGCCATTATCCCCAGGTTTCCCCGGCCAAAGTTTGTCCTTTTTACCTTTTCTCTTTGTTTTACCCCTTTTCCCTTTTGAAACTCTGCCCCCTCTCCCTCCCTCTCCCCCCCCCCCATGGGAAAAAAAAAACATTGGGTTGTAGGGTTTAACCCCTTTTTTTCCCCCCAAACCGCTGATTTTTTGGTATTCAAAAAAATGAGAAACGAAAACTGTTTTTAGTTTTTTACCCATAACCAAACCCCCCCGAAATTCGTTTCCTTTTTTTTTTCTTTTGTTTCTGCTAGGGGTTGGTGTTGGGGTTGCGCAACCACAATCTGCCACCTTCACCCCCCCCCCCCACCCCGTCTGGCCGCCATGGCGCCCCCAAGATCTGCAACCGCGTGGCCGTGACCGCGGGGTTGCGGCCTCGGCCGCAGGGGATACACTGCCCACCAACCCTGCAAATGCAAACCTAATATGGTACATCCCCTTACTTCCTATCTGTCAGTCTTTCTACCGAGTGACTGCCATTTATCTCAGCTTTGTCCCTCCTTCGTCTCTCGTCCGGGCACGTCGCGCTGGAGGACGGGGCCAAACTGTAGCTGTCCTTTACAGGGGTCCCGGGGCAGTAGCAGGGGAAAAGGGGCCCGTCTTTCCTCCGGGGGCGTTTTTTTTTTTCCATTATAATAAAACTCAATGGTCCCTACTATTCTGGGGGGCAGCAGTCCAGTTGCTTACCACCGGCAAGCGTGTTTGTACAATCATAGAAGGGGGGGAGATCAGACCAGAGAAGCAGAAAGCCTATCCCTTGTGGTACTAGTCACCTTGCAAAGGGGTAGCTGCAATGTGGGGTCCCACCCCCCCAAACCATGTCCTTTCTCCGGGGGGGCTCCCTGCTGGCTGGGAGGCTTGCTAGCAGCGCCCAGACACGCAGCAGGGTTCCCCTTGGGGTTCGGGGCGCGGGGAGGGGCCTCCCCTGCAGTTCCTGAGGCTGCCTATCAATTCTACCGTTTCCAGGCCCACATCGCTCGGTCATTACTTTCAACCTTAGTCCTGCTCTCAACCTGTCCATCTTATCCTGTTTAGCCCGTCTTTTGCATAACTCTGCGACAATCTTTTCCCTCAAGCCTTTGTTTTGGCTATCTTCATGCCTCTTACTATCTCTATGTCCCTTACCCCCTGATTCCTCTCTCGGCATTGTCATGTATCCTCGTACAGTCTTCCGTGACTCAACATCATTAGCCATCCCAGAAATATCACACAACATATATTTTTTTCTGTTTTTTTTTTTTTGTTGAGTTTTTTTTTTT